AGCATGTGCAAAATTGCAAGAACAAGGACCAAGCGTGTGCAAAATAAAAAGAAGAAGGGCATAGCGTGTGCAAAATAGCAAGAACAAGGGCCTAGCGTATGCAAAATTGCAAGAACAAGGGCCTAGCGTGTGCAAAATTGCAAGAACAAGGGCCTAGCGAGTGCAAAAAAGCAAGAGCAAGGGCCTAGCGTGTGCAAAAAATCAAGAACAAGGACCTAGCGTTCGCGAAATAGCAAGAATAAGGGCCTAGCGTGTGCAAAATAAAAAGAACAAGGGTCTAGCATGTACAAAATTGCGGAACAAGGGCCTAGCGTGTGCAAAATAAAAATAGCAAGGGCATAGCGTGTGCAAAATAGCAAGAACAAGGGCATAGCGTGTGCAAAATTGCAAGAACAAGGGCCTAGCGTGTGCAAAATTGCAAGAACAAGGGCCTAGCGAGTGCAAAATAGCAAGAGCAAGGGCCTAGCGTGTGCAAAAAATCAAGAAAAAGGGCCTAGCGTTCGCGAAATTGCAAGAATAAGGGCCTAGCGTGTGCAAAATAAAAAGAACAAGGGTCTAGCATGTGCAAAATTGCAAGAACAAGGACCAAGCGTGTGCAAAATAAAAAGAACAAGGGCCTAGCGTGTGCAAATTAAAAAGAACAAGGGCCTAGCGTGTGCAAAATTGCAAGAACAAGGGCCTAGCGTGTGCAAAATTGCAAGAACAAGGGCCTAGCGAGTGCAAAATAGCAAGAGCAAGGGCCTAGCGTGTGCAAAAAATCAAGAAGAAGGACCTAGCGTTCGCGAAATAGCAAGAATAAGGGCCTAGCGTGTGCAAAATAAAAAGAACAAGGGTCTCGCATGTGCAAAATTGCAGGAACAAGGGCCTAGCGTGTGCAAAATAAAAATAACAAGGGCATAGCGTGTGCAACATAGCAAGAACAAGGGCCTAGCGTGTGCAAAATTGCAAAAACAAGGGCCTAGCGTGTGCAAAATTACAAGAACAAGGGCCTAGCGAGTGCAAATTAGCAAGAGCAAGGGCCTAGCGTGTGCAAAAAATCAAGAACAAGGGCCTAGCGTTCGCGAAATTGCAAGAACAAGGGCCAAGCGTGTGCAAAATAAAAGGAACAAGGGTCTAGCATGTGCAAAATTGCAAGAACAAGGACCAAGCGTGTGCAAAATAAAAAGAACAAGGGCCTGGCGTGTGCAAAATAGCAAGAACAAGAGCCTAGCGTGTGCAAAATAAAAAGAACAAGGGCCTAGCGTGTGCAAAATAAAAAGAACAAGGGCCTAGCGTGTGCAAAATTGCAAGAACAAGGGCCTAGCGTGTGCTAAATTGCAAGAACAAGGGCCTAGCAAGTGCAAAATAGCAAGAGCAAGGGCCTAGCGTGTGCAAAAAATCAAGAACAAGGGTCTAGCATGTGCAAAATTGCAAGAACAAGGGCCTAGCGTATGCAAAATAAAAATAACAAGGGCATAGCGTGTGCAAAATAGCAAGAACAAGGGCCTAGCGTGTGCAAAATTGCAAGAACAAGGGCCTAGCGTGTGCAAAATTGCAAGAACAAGGGCCTAGCGTGTGCAAAATCGCAAGAACAAGGGCCTAGCGAGTGCAAAATAGCAAGAGCAAGGGCCTAGCGTGTGCAAAAAATCAAGAACAAGGGCCTAGCGTTTGCGAAATAGCAAGAACAAGGGCCTAGCGTGTGCAAAATAAAACGAACATGGGTCTAGCATGTGCAAAATTGCAAGAACAAGGGCCTAGCGTGTGCAAAATAAAAAAAATCAAGGGCATAGCGTGTGCAAAATAAAAAGAACAAGGTCCTAGCGTGTGCAAAATAGCAAGAACAAGGGCCTAGATTGTGCAAAATTGCAAGAACAAGGGCCTAGCGTGTGCAAAATAAAAAGAACAAGGGCCTAGCGTGTGCAAAATAAAAAGAACAAGGGCCTAGCGTGTGCAAAATTGCAAGAACAAGGGCCTAGCTTGCCTGGTCTAGGATCTTTCCTGGTCCAGGAGCTTGCCTGGTCCTGGAGCGTGCTTGGTCCACGAGTTTGCGTGGTTTAGGAGCTTTCCTGGTCCAGGAGCTTGCCTGGTCCAACAACTTGCCTGGTCCAAGGGCTTGCTTGGTCCAGGAGCGTGCCTGGTCCAAGAGCTTGCCTTGTCCAGGAGCTTGCCTGGTCCAGGAGCTTGCTTGGTCCAGGAGCGTGCCTGGTCCACGAGTTTCCCCAGTCCAGGAGCTTGCCTGGTCGAGGAGCTTGCCTGGTCTAGGATCTTGCCTGGTCCAGGAGCTTGCCTGGTCGAGGAGCGTGCCTGGTCCATGTGTTTGCGTGGTTCAGGAGCTTGCCTGGTCCACGAGTTTGCCTGGTCCAAGAGCTTGCCTGGTCCAAGAGCTTGCCTGGTCTAGGATCTTTCGTGGTCCATGAGCTTGCCTGGTCCTGGAGCGTGCTTGGTCCACGAGTTTGCGTGGTCCAGGAGCTTGCCTGGTCTAGGAGCTTGCCTGGTCCAGGAGCTTGCTTGGTCCAGGAGCTTGCGTGGTCCAGGAGCTTGCGTGGTCTAGGAGCCTGCCTGGTCCAGGAGCTTGCCTGGTCTAACAGCTTGCCTGGTCCAAGAGCTTGCTTGGTCCACGAGCGTGAATGGTCCAAGGACTTGCCCGGTCCTGGAGCTTGCCTGGTCTAGGAGCTTGCTTGGTCCAGGAGCGTGCCTGGTCCAGGAGCTCGCCTGGTCCAGGAGCTTGCCTAGTCTAGGATCTTTCCTGGTCCAGGAGCTTGCCTGGTCCTGGAGCGTGCTTGGTCCACGAGTTTGCGTGGTCCAGGAGCTTGCCTGGTCCAGGAGCTTGCCTGGTCCAGGAGCTTGCCTGGTCTAGGAGCATGCCTGGTTCACGAGCCTGCCCGGTCCAAGAGCTTGCCTGGTCCACGAGCGTGCCTCGTCCACGAGCGTGCCTGATCCAGGAGCTTGTCTGGTCCAGGAGCTTGCTTGGTCTAGAAGCTTGCCTGGTCCAGGAGCTTCCCTGGTCCAGGAGCTTGCCTGGTCTAGGAGCTTGCATGGTCCAGGAGCGTGCCTGGTCCATGAGCGTGCCTGGTCCAGGAGCTTTCTGGTCCAGGAGCTTGCCTATCCAGGAGCTTGCCTGGTCTATGAGCATGCCTGGTTCACGAGCCTGCCTGGTCCAAGAGCTTGCCTGGTCCACGAGCGTGCCTGGTCCACGAGCATGCTTGATCCAGGAGCTAGCCTGGTCCAGGAGCTTGCTTGGTTTAGAAGCTTGCCTGGTCCAGGAGCTTACCTGGTCCAGAAGCTTGCCTGGTCAAGGAGCTTGCCTGGTCCAGGAGGTTGCCTGGTCCAGAAGCCCGCCTAGTCCAAGAGCTTGCCTGTTTAAGGAGCGTGCCTGGTCCAAGAGCTTGCGTGGTCCAGGAGCTTGCGTGGTCCAGGAGCTTGCCTGGTGTAGGAGCTTGCCTGGTCCAAGAGCGTGCCTGGTCCAGGAGCGTGCCTGGTCCAGGAGCGTGCATAGTCCAGGAGCGTGCCTGGTCCAGGAGCGTGCCTGGTCCAGGAGCTTGCCTGGTCCAGGAGCTTGCCTGGTCCAGGAGCTTGCCTGGTCCAGGAGCTTCCCTGGTCCACGAGTTTGCCTGGTCCAGGAGCTTGCGTGGTCCAGGAGCTTGCGTGGTCTAGGAGCTTGCCTGGTCCAGGAGCTTGCCAGGTCAAGCAGCTTGCCTGGTCCAGGAGCTTGCTTGGTCCAGGAGCTTGCCTGGTCCAGTAGCTTGCCTGGTCTAGGAGCTTGCCTGGTATAGGAGCTTGCTTGTTCCAGGAGCGTGCCTGGTCCACAAGTTTCCCTGGTCTAGGAGCTTGCCTGGTCTAGGAGCTTGCTCGGTCCAGGAGCTTGCCTTGTTCAGGAGCTTGCCTGGTCCAGGAGCTTGCCAAGTCCAGGAGCATGCTTCGTCTACAAGCCTGCCTGATCAAGGAGCTTGCCTAGTCCAAGAGCTTGCCTGGTCCAAGAGCTTGCCTGGTCCAAGAGCTAGCTCGGTCCTGGAGCTTGCCTGAACCAGGAGCTTGCCTGGTCCAGGAGCTTGCCTGGTCCAGGAGCTTCCTTGGTCCAGAAGCTTGCCTGGTCCAAGAGCTTGCCTGGTCCAGGAGCGTGCCTGGTCCAAGAGCTTGCGTGGTCCAGGAGCTTGCCTGGTCTAAGAGATTGCCAGGTCCAGGATTGTGCCTGGTCCATGAGCGTGCCTGGTCCAGGAGATTGCCTGGTCAAAGAGCTTGCCTGGTCCAGGAGCTTGCCTAGTCCACAAGCCTGCCTGGTCTAAGAGCTTGCATGGTCCACGAGCGTGCCTGGTCCACGAGCGTGCATGATCCAGGAGCTTGCTTGGTCCACGAGCTTGCCTGTTCCAGGGGCGTGCCTGGTCCAAGAGTGTGCCTGGTCCACGAGCGTGCCTGGTCGAGGAGCTTGCCTGGTCTAGGAGCTTGCCTGGTCCAGGAGCTTGCCTGGTCCAGGAGCTTGCCTGGTCTACGAGCGTGCCTGGTCCAGGAGCTTGCCTGGTCTAGGAGCTTGCCTGGTCCAGGAGCTTGCCTGGTCCAAGATCTTGCCTGGTCCAGGAGCTTGCCTGGTCCAGGAGCTAGCTGGTCCAGGAGCTTGCTTGGTCCAGAAGCGTTCCTGGTCCAAGAGCTTGCCTGGTCTAGGAGCATGCCTGGTCCAAGAGCTTGCGTGGTCCAGGAGCTTGCCTTGACGAGGAGCTTGCCTGGTCCAGGAGCGTGCCAGGTCCAGAAGCGTGCCTGGTCCAGGAGCTTGCCTGGTCAAGGAGCTTGCCTGGTCCAAGAGCGTGTTTGGTCCACGATACTGCCTGGTCCAAGAGCTTGCCTGGTTCAGGAACGTGCCTGTTCCACGAGCGTGCCTGGTCCAGGAGCTTGCCTGGTCGAGAAGCTTGCCTGGTCCAGGAGCTTGCCTCGTCCAGGAGCTTGCTTGGTCCAGAAGCCCGCCTGGCCTAAGAGCTTGCCTGGGCCCGGAGCGTGCCTGGTCCAAGAACTTGCGTGGTCGAGGAGCTTGCCTAGTCCAAGAGCTTGCGTGGTCCAAGAGCGTCCACGTCCACGTCCACCTCCATGTCCACGTCCACGTCCACGTTCATGTCCACGTCCACGTCCACGTCCACGTCCATGTCCACGTCCAAGTCCTCCACGTCCACGTCGATGTCCATGTCCACATCCACGTCCACGTCCATGTCCACGTCCACGTCCACGTCCAAGTCCACGTCCACGTCCACGTCCACGACCACGTCCACGTCCACGTCCACGTTCACGACAATGTCCACGTCCACGCCCACGTCCACGTCCACGTCCACGTCCACGTTCACGTCCATGTCCACGTCCACGTCCACGTCCACGTCCACGTCCACGTCCACGTCCACGTCCACGTCCACGTCCACGTCCACGTCCAAGTCCACGTCCATGTCCACGTCCATGTCCACGTCCACGTCCACGTCCACGTCCACGTCCATGTCCACGTCCACGTCCACGTCCATGTCCAGGTCCATGTCCACGTCCACGTCCATGTCTTCGTCCACGTCCACGTCCATGTCCATGTCCACGTCTACGTCCACGTCCACGTCCACGTCCATGTCCACGTCCAAGTCCTCCACGTCCACGTCCATGTCCACGTCCACGTCTACGTTCACGTCACGTTCACGTCCATGTCCACGTCCATCTCCACGTCCACGTCCACGTCCACGTCCACGTCCATGTCCACGTCCACGTCCACGTCCATGTCCACATCCATGTCCACGTCCATGTCCACGTCCACGTCCACGTCCACGTCCACGTCCACGTCCACGACCACGTCCATGTCCACGTCCACGTCCACGACAATGTCCACGTCCACGTCCATGTCCACGTCCATGTCCACGTCCACGTCCACGTCCACGTCCACGTCCATGTCCACGTCCATGTCCACGTCCACGTCCACGTCGATGTCCACGTCCACGTCCACCTCCATGTCCACGTCCACGTCCTCCTCCACGTCCACGTCCATGTCCACGTCCACGTCCACCTCCACGTCCATGTCCACGTCCACGTCCACGTCCACCTCCACGTCCATGTCCACGTCCACGTCCATGTCCACGTCCACGTCCATGTCCACGTCCACGTCCACGTCCACGTCCACGTCCACGTCCAGACCACGTTCAAGTCCTCCACGTCCACGTCCACGTCCACGTCCACGACCACGTCCACGTCCACGTCCACGACCACGTCCACGTCCACGTCCACGTCCACGTCCACGACCACGTCCACGTCCACGTCCACGTCCACGTCCACGTCCACGTCCACCTCCACGTCCACGTCCACGTCCACGTCCACGTCCACCTCCACGTCCAAGTCCTCCACGTCTACGTCCACGTCCACGTCCACGTCCACGTCCACGTCCAAGTCCTCCACGTCCACGTCCACGTCCACGTCCACGTCCACGTCCACGTCCACGTCCACGTACACGTCCACGTCCACGTCCACGTCCACGTCCACGTCCACGTCCACCTCCATGTCCACGTCCATGTCCACGTCCACGTCCACGTCCACTTCCCTATCCACGTCCACGTCCACGTCCATGTCCACGTCCACGTCCACGTCCACGTCCACGTCCATGTCCACGTCCACGTCCACGTCCACGTCCACATCCATGTCCATGTCCACGTCCAAGTCCTCCACGTCCACGTCCAGGTCCACGTCCACGTCCACGTCCACGTCCATGTCCACGACCACGTCGACGTCCATGTCCACGTCCACATCCACGTCCACGTCCATGTCCACGTCCACGTCCACGTCCAGGTCCACGTCCATGTCCACGTCCACCTCCACGTCCACGTCCACGTCCACGTCCATGTCCACGTCCAAGTCCTCCGCGTCCACGTCCATGTCCACGTCCACGTCCATATCCACGTACACGTCCACATCCACGTCCACGTCCACGTCCACGTCCAGGTCTACGTCCATGTCCACGTCCATGTCCACGTCCACGTCCACGTCCACGTCCATGTCCACGTCCACGTCCACGTCCACGTCCATGTCCACGTCCATGTCCATGTCCACGTCCACGTCCACGTCCACGTCCACGTCCACGTCCATGTCCACGTCCACGTCCACGTCCACGTCTACGTCCACGTCCATGTCCACGTCCATGTCCTCCACGTCCACGTCCACGTCCACGTCCACGTCCACGTCCATGTCCATGTCCACGTCCATGTCTATGTCCACGTCCAAGTCCACGACCACGTCCACGTCCACGTCCACGTCCACGACAATGTCCACGTCCACGACAATGTCCACGTCCATGTCCACGTCCACGTCCATGTCCACGTCCATGTCCACGTCAACGTCCGGGTCCACGTCCACGTCCATGTCCACGTCCACGTCCACGTCCACGTCCATGTCCACGTCCACGTCCACGTCCACGTCCACGACCACTTCGTCCACGTCCACGACCACGTCCACGTCCACGTCCTCGTCCACATCCACGTCCAGGTCCACGACAATGTCCACGTCCACGTCCACGTCCACGTCCACGTCCACGTCCATGTCCACGTCCACGTCCACGTCCACGTCCACGTCCACGACCACGTCCACGTCCACGTCCACGTCCACGTCCACGACCACCTCCACGTCCACGTCAACGTCCACGTCCACGAAAATGTCCACGTCCACGTCCACGTCCACGTCCATGTCCACGTCCACGTCCACGTCCACGTCCACGTCCATCTCCACATCCACGTCCATGTCCACGTCCACGTCCACGTCCACGTCCACGTCCACGTCTATATCCAGGTCCATATCCATATCCAGGTCCACGTCCAAGTCCACATCCACGTCCACGTCCACGTCTATATCCAGGTCCATATCCATATCCAGGTCCACGTCCACGTCCACGTCCACGTCCATGTCAACGTCCACGTCCACGTCCATGTCCACGTCCACGTCCATGTCAACGTCCACGTCCACGTCCACGTCCACGTCCACGTCCACGTCCACGTTCACGTCCACGTCCACGTCCATGTCCACGTCCACGTCCACGTCCACGTCCACGTCCACGTTCACGTCCACGTCCACGTCCACGTCCACGTTCACGTCCATGTCCACGTCCACGTCCACGTCCACGTCCACGTCCATGTCCACGTCCACGTCCACGTCCACGTCCAGGTCCACTTCCCTGTCCACGTCCACGTCCACGTCCATGTCCGTCCACGTCCATGTCCACGTCAACGTCCACGTCCACGTCCACGTCCATGTCCATGTCCACGTCCAAGTCCTCCACGTCCACGTCCACGTCCACGTCCACGTCCATGTCCACGACCACGTCGACGTCCATGTCCACGTCCACGTCCACGTCCATGTCCACGTCCACGTCCACGTCCATGTCCACGTCCACGTCCACGTCCACGTCTACGTCCACGTCCATGTCCACGTCCATGTCCTCCACGTCCACGTCCATGTCCACGTCCACGTCCACGTCCATGTCCATGTCCACGTCCATGTCTACGTCCACGTCCACGTCCACGACCACGTCCACGTCCACGTCCACGTCCACGACAATGTCCACGTCCACGACAATGTCCACGTCCCTGTCCACGTCCACGTCCACGTCCATGTCCACGTCCATGTCCACGTCAACGTCCAGGTCCACGTCCACGTCCACGTCCATGTCCACGTCCACGTCCCATCCACGTCCATGTCCACGTCCACGTCCACGTCCACGTCCACGTCCACGACCACTTCGTCCACGTCCACGACCACGTCCACGTCCATGTCCACGTCCTCGTCCACATCCACGTCCAGGTCCACGACAATGTCCACGTCCACGTCCACGTCCACGTCCATCTCCACGTCCACGTCCACGTACACGTCCACGACCACGTCCACGTCCACGTCCACGTCCACGTCCACGACCACCTCCACGTCCACGTCAACGTCCACGTCCACGAAAATGTCCACGTCCACGTCCATGTCCACGTCCATGTCCACGTCCACGTCCACGTCCACGTCCACGTCCACGTCCACGTCCATCTCCACGTCCACGTCCATGTCCACGTCCACGTCCACGTCCACGTCCACGTCCACGTCTATATCCAGGTCCATATCCATATCCAGGTCCACGTCCAAGTCCACCTCCACGTCCATGTCCACGTCTATATCCAGGTCCATATCCATATCCAGGTCCACGTCCACGTCCACGTCCACGTCCATGTCAACGTCCACGTCCACGTCCATGTCCACGTCCACGTCCACGTCCACGTCCACGTCCACGTCCACGTTCACGTCCACGTCCACGTCCATGTCCACGTCCACGTCAACGTCCACGTCCACGTCCACGTTCACGTCCACGTCCACGTCCACGTCCACGTCCACGTTCACGTCCATGTCCACGTCCACGTCGACGTCCACGTCCATGTCCACGTCCACGTCCACGTCCACGTCCAGGTCGACTTCCCTGTCCACGTCCACGTCCACGTCCACGTCGATGTCCGTCCACGTCCACGTCCACGTCCATGTCCACGTCAACGTCCACGTCCACGTCCACGTCCACGTCCATGTCCATGTCCACGTCCAAGTCCTCCACGTCCACGTCCACGTCCACGTCCACGTCCATGTCCACGACCACGTCGACGTCCATGTCCACGTCCACGTCCACGTCCATGTCCACGTCCACGTCCACGTCCACGTCCATGTCCACGTCCATGTCCACGTCCACCTCCACGTCCACGTCCACGTCCACGTCCACGTCCATGTCCACGTCCAAGTCCTCCACGTCTACGTCCACGTCCACGTCCACGTCCACGTCCACGTACACGTCCACGTCCACGTCCATATCCACGTCCACGTCCACGTCCACGTCCATGTCCACGTCCATGTCCACGTCCATGTCCACGTCCACGTCCACGTCCACGACCATGTCCACGTCCACGTCCACCTCCACCCACGTCCATGTCGACGTCCACGTCCACCTCCACGTCCAAGTCCTCCACGTCTACGTCCACATCCACGTCCACGTCCACGTCCAAGTCCTCCACGTCCACGTCCACGTCTACGTCCACGTCCAAGTCCTCCACGTCCACGTCCACGTCCACGTCCACGTCCATGTCCACGTCCACGTCCACGACCACGTCCACGTCCACGTCCACGACCACGTCCACGTCCATGTCCACGTCCACGTCCACGTCCACGTCCCATCCACGTCCACGTCCATGTCCATGTCCTCGTCCACGTCCACGTCCACGTCCACGTCCATGTCCACGTCCACGTCCATGTCCACGTCCATGTCCACGTCGACGTCCATTCCACGTCCACGTCCAGTCCACGTTCAAGTCCTCCACGTCCACGTCCACGTCCACGTCCATGTCCACGTCCACGTCCACGACCAGGTCCACGTCCACGTCCACGTCCACGTCTATGTCCACGTCCACGTCCACGTCCACGTCCACGTCCATGTCCACGTCCACGTCCACGTCCACGTCCACGTCCATGTCGACGTCCACGTCCACGTCCACGTCCACGTCCACGTTCACGTCCATGTCCCCACGTCCACGTCCACGTCCACGTCCATGTCCACGTCCACGTCCACGTCCACGTCCACGTCCATGTCCACGTCCATGTCCACGTCCACGTCCACGTCCATGTCCACGTCCACGTCCACCTCCACGTCCACCTCCACGTCCACGTCCACCTCCACGTCCACCTCCACTTCCATGTCCACGTCCACGTCCACCTCCACGTCCACGTCCACGTCCACGTCCACGTCCAGGTCCATGTCCACGTCCATGTCGACGTCCACGTCCACGTCCACGTCCACGTCCATGTCCACGTCCACGTCCACGTCCACGTCCACGTCCACGTCCACGTCCACGTCCAGGTCCATGTCCACGTCCACGTCCACGTCCAGGTCCATGTCCACGTCCACGTCCATGTCCACGTCCACGTCCACGTCCATGTCCACGTCCAAGTCCTCCACGTCCACGTCCACGTCCATGTCCACGTCCACGTCCACGTCCACGTCCACGTTCACGTCCATGTCCCCACGTCCACGTCCACGTCCACGTCCAGGTCCATGTCCACGTCCACGTCCACGTCCATGTCCACCTCCATGTCCACGTCCACGTCCACGTCTACGTCTACGTCCATGTCCATGTCCACGTCCACGTCCACATCCACGTCCACGTCCACGTCCATCTCCACGTCCATCTCCACGTCCACGTCCACGTCCACGTCCAGGTCCACGTCGTCCACGTCGTCCACGTCGTCCACGTCGTCCACGTCCAGCTCCTGGACTAGGCAAGCTCTTGGACCAGGCAAGCTCCTGGACCAGGCAAGCTCCTGGACCAGGCAAGCTCCTGGACTAGGCAAGCTCACGGACCAAAAAAGCTCGTGGACAAGGCAAGCTCCTGGACCAGGCACGCTCGTGGTTCAGGAGCTCCTGGTCCAGGAGCTTGCCTGGTCCAGGAACTTGCCTGGTCCAAGAGCTTGCCTAGTCCAGGAGCTTGCCTGGTCCAAGAGCTTGCCTGGTCCAGGAGCTTGCCTGGTCCAGGAGTTTGCCTGGTCCAAGAGCTTGCCTGGTCTTGGAGCTTGCCTTGTCCAGGAGCTTGCCTGGTTCAGGAGCTTGCCTGGTCCAGGAGCTTTCCTGGTCGAAGAGCTTGCCTGGTCCAGGAGCTTGCCTGGTCTAGGAGCTTGCCTGGTCTTGGAGCTTGCCTTGTCCAGGAGCTTGCCTGGTCCAGGAGCTTGCCTGGTCCAGGAGCTTGCCTGGTCTTGGAGCTTGCCTTGTCCAGGAGCTTGCCTGGTCCAGGTTCTTGCCTGGTCCAAGAGCTTGCCTGGTCCAAGAGCTTGCCTGGTCCAGGAGCTTGCCTGGTCCAGGAGCTTGCATGGTCTTGGAGCTTGCCTTGTTCAGGAGCTTGCCTGGTCCAGGAGCTTGCCTGGTCCAAGAGCTTGCCTGGTCCATGAGCTTGCCTGGTCCAAGAGCTTGCCTGGTCCAGGAGCTTGCCTGGTCCAGGAGCTTGCCTGGTCCAAGAGCTTGCCTGGTCTTGGAGCTTGCCTTGTCCAGGAGCTTGCCTTGTCCAGGAGCTTGCCTGGTCCAGGAGCTTTCCTGGTCGAAGAGCTTGCCTGGTCCAAGAGCTTGCGTGGTCTAGGAGCTTGCTTGGTCTTGGAGCTTGCCTGGTCCAGGAGCTTGCCTGGTCCAGGAGCTTGCCTGTTCCACGAGCGTGCCTGGTCCATGAGCTTGCCTGGTCCAGGAGCTTGCCTGGTCCAAGAGCTTTCCTGGTCCAAGAGCTTTCTTGGTCCATTAGCTTGCCTGGTCCAGGAGCTTGCCTGGTCTAGGAGCTTTCCTGGTCCAAGAGCTTGCCTGGTCCAGGAGCTTGCCCAGTCCACGAGCTTGCTTGGTCCAGGAGCGTGCCTGATCCACGAGCTTGCCTGGTCCAAGAGCTTGCCTGGTCCAGGAGCGTGCCTGGTCCAAGAGCTTGCCTGGTCTAGGATCTTGCCTGGTCCAAGAGCTTGCCTGGTCAAAGAGCTTGCTTGGTCCAGAAGCCTGCCTGGTCCAAGGGCTTGCCTGGTCCAGGAGCGTGCATGGGTTAAGAGCTTGCCTGGTCCAGGAGCTTGCGTGGTCGAGGAGCTTGCCTGATCCAGGAGCTTGCCTGGTCCAGGAGCTTGCCTGGTCCAGGAGCTTGCCTAGTCAAGGATATTGCGTGGTCCAGGAGCTTGTCAAGTCCAGAAGCTTGCCTGGTCCAGGAGCTTGCGTGGTCCAGGAGCTTACCTAGTCCAGGAGATTGCCTGGTCCAGGAACTTTCCTGGTCCACAAGCCTGCCTGGTCCAAGAGCTTGCCTGGTCCAGGAGCGTGCACGGTCCACGAGCATGCCTGGTCCAGGAGCTTGCCTGGTCCAGGAGCTAGCCTGGTCCAGGAGCTTGCCTGGTCCAAGAGCTTGCTTGGTCCAGAAGCCTGCCTGGTCCAAGAGCTTTCCTGGTCTAGGAGCGTGCCTTGTCCAAGAGCTTGCGTGGTCCAGGAGCTTGCGTGGTCAAGTAGCTTGCCTGTTCCAGGAACTTGCCTGGTCTAGGAGCTTGCCTGGTCCAACAGCTTGCCTGGTCCAAGAGCTTGCGTGGTCCAGGAGCTTGCCTGGTCCAGGACCTTGCCTGGTCTAGGAGCTTGCCTGGTCCAGGAGCTTGCCTGGTCCAGGAGCATGCCTGGTCCACGAGTTTGCCTAGTCCAGAAGCTTGCCTGGTCGAGGAGCTTGCCTGGTCTAGGAGCTTGCATGGTCCTAGAGCATGCCTGGTCCAGGAGCTTGCCTGGTCCACGAGCTTGCCTTGTCTAGGAGCTTGCGTGGTCCTAGAGCTTGCCTGGTCCAAGATCTTGCTTTTTCCAAGAGCGTGCCTGGTCCAAGAGCTTGCCTGGTCCTGAAGTTTGCCTCGTCCAGGAGCTTGCCTGGTCCAGGAGCTTGCATGGTCCAGGAGCTTGCCTGGTCCAGGAGCTTGCGTGGTCTAGGAGCTTGCCTGGTCCACGAGCTTGCCTGGTCCACGAGCTTGCCTGATCCATGAGCTTGCCTGGTCCACGAGCTTGCGTGGTCCAGGAGCATTCCTGGTTCAAGAGCTCGCCTGGTCCAGGAGCTTGCCTGGTCAAGGAGCTTGCATGTTCCAGGAGCTTGCCCGGTCCAAGAGCTTGCCTGGTCCAAGAGCTTGCCTGATCCACGAGCGTGACTGGTCCAAGAGCTCGCTTGGGCTTGAAACTTGCCTGGTCTTGGAGCTTGCCCGGTCCAGGAGCTTGCCTGGTCAACGAGCTTGCCTCGTCCAGGAGCTTGCTTGTTCCAGGAGCGTGCCTGGTCCAGGAGCTTGCCAGGTCGAGGAGCTTGCTTGATCTAGAAGCTTTCCTGGTCCAGGAGCATTCCTAGTTCAAGAGCTCGCATGGTCCAGGAGCTTGCCTGGTCAAGGAGCTTGCATGTTCCAGGAGCTTGCCCAGTCCAGGAGCTTGCCTGGTCCAGGAGCTTGCCATGTCCAAGAGCTTGCCTGGTCCAGGAGCATGCGTGGTCCAGGAGCTTGCCTTGTCTAGGAGCTTGCGTGGTCCAAGAGCTTGCATGGTCTAGGAGCTTGCCTAGTCTAAGAGCTTGCCTGGTCTAGGAGCTTGCCTGGTCCAAGACCTTGCCTAGTCCAAGAGCTTGCCTGGTCGAAGAGCTTGCCTGGTCCAAGATCTTGCCTGGTCCAAGAGCTTGTCTGGTCCAGGAGCTTGCCTGGTCCACGAGCTTGCTTGGTCCATGTGCTTGCCTGGTCCAGAAGCTTGCCTGGTCTAGGAGCTTGTCTGGTTTAGGAGCTTGCCTGGTCTAGGAGCGTGCCTGGTACAGGAGCGTGCTTGGTCTAGGAGCTTGCCTAGTTCAGGAGCTTGCCTGGTCCATTAGCTTGCGTGGTCTAGGAGCGTGCCAGGTCCATGAGCTTGCGTGGTCCAGGAGCTTGATTGGTCCAGGAGCTTGCCTGGTCCAGAAGCTTTCCTGGTCCAGGAGCTTGCCTGGTCAACGAGATTGCATGGTCCGGGAGCTTCCCTGGTCAAGGAGCTTGCCTGGTCGAAGAGCTTGCTTGGTCCAGGAGCTTGCGAGGTCCAGGAGCTTGCCTGGTCCAAGAGCGTGCCTGGTCCAAGAGGGTGCCAGGTCCAGGAGCTTGCCTGGACAGGAGCTTGCCTAGTCCCAGAGCTTGCGTGGTCCAGGAGCGTGCCTGGTCGAGGAGCTTGCCTCGTCCAGAAGCTTGCATAGTACACGAGCTTGCCTGGTGAAGGGGTATGCCTGGTCTAGAAGCTTGCTTGGTCCAGGAGCTTGCCTGGTCCAGGAGCTTGCCTGGTCCAGGAGCGTGCCTGGTCCACGAGCTTACCTGGTCCAGGAGCTTGCCTGGTCCAAGAGCTTTCCGGGTCCAAGAGCTTGCCTGGTCCAGGAGCTTGCCTTGTCCAGGAGCTTGCCCTTTCCACGAGCGTGCCTCGTCCACGAGCTTGCCTGGTCCAAGAGCTTGCCTGGTCCAGGAGCTTGCCTGGTCCACGAGCGTGACTGGTCCATGAACTTGCCTGGTCCAAGAGCTTGCCTGGTTCAAGAGCGTGCCCGGTCCAGGAGCGTGCCTGGTCCACGAGCTTGCCTGGTCCAGGAGCGCTTGCCTTGTCCAGGAGCTTGCGTGGTCCAAGAGCTTGCCTGGTCCAAGAGCTTGTGTGGTCCACGAGCTTGCCTGGTCCAGGAGCTTGCCTAGTCCAGGAGCGTGCCTGGTCTAGGAGCTTGCCAGTTCCAGGACCTTGCCTTGTCTAGGAGCTTGCCTGGTCCAGGAGCGTGCCTGGTCCAGGATCTTGCCTGATCCAGGAGCTTGCCCGGTCCATGAGCTTGCCTGGTCCAGGATCTTGCTTGGTCCAGGAGCGTGCCTGGTACATGAGTTTGCCTGGTTGAGGAGCTTGCCTGGTCCAGGAGCTTGCCTGGTCTAGGAACTTGCATGGTCTTGGAGCGTGCCTGGTCCAAGAGCTTGCGTGGTCCAGGAGCTTCCCTGGTCCAGGAGCTTGCCTGGTCCAGGAGCTTGCCTGGTCCATGAGCCTGCCTGGTCCAAGAGCTTGCCTGGTCCAAGAGTGTGCCTGGTCCATGAGCGTGCCTAGTCCAAAAGCTTGCCCGGTCTAGGAGCTTGCCTGGTCGAGGAGCTTGCCTGGTCCAGGAGCTTGTCTTGTCCAGGAGCTTGCCTGGTCTAGGAGCTTGCCTGCTCGAAGAGCTTGCTTGGATTGGACGCCTGCTTGGTCTAAGAGCTTGCTTGGTCAATGAGCTTGCCTGGTCCAAAAGCTTGCGTGTACTAGGAGCTTGCCTGGTCTAGGAGCTTGCCTGGTCCAAGAGCGTGCCTGGTCCACGAGCTTGCCTGGTCCACGAGCTTGCCTGGTCCAGGAGCTTGCTTGGTCCACGAGCTTGCCTGGTCTAGGAGCTTGCCTGGTCCAGGAGCTTGCCTGGTCCAAGAGCTTTCCGGGTCCAAGAGCTTGCCTGGTCCAGGAGCTTGCCTTGTCCAGGAGCTTGCCCTTTCCAGGAGCGTGCCTCGTCCACGAGCTTGCCTGGTCCAAGAGCTTGCCTGGTCCAGGAGCTTGCCTGGTCCAGGAGCGTGCCTGGTCCATGAACTTGCCTGGTCCAAGAGCTTGCCTGCTTCAAGAGCGTGCCCGGTCCAGGAGCGTGCCTGGTCCACGAGCTTGCCTGGTCCAGGAGCGCTTGCCTTGTCCAGGAGCTTGCCTGGTCCAAGAGCTTGCCTGGTCCAAGAGCTTGTGTGGTCCACGAGCTTGCCTGGTCCAGGAGCTTGCCTAGTCCAGGAGCGTGCCTGGTCTAGGAGCTTGCCAGTTCCAGGACCTTGCCTTGTCTAGGAGCTTGCCTGGTCCAGGAGCGTGCCTGGTCCAGGATCTTGCCTGATCCAGGAGCTTGCCCGGTCCATGAGCTTGCCTGGTCCAGGATCTTGCTTGGTCCAGGAGCGTGCCTGGTCCATGAGTTTGCCTGGTTGAGGAGCTTGCCTGGTCCAGGAGCTTGCCTGGTCTAGGAACTTGCATGGTCTTGGAGCGTGCCTGGTCCAAGAGCTTGCGTGGTCCAGGAGCTTCCCTGGTCCAGGAGCTTGCCTGGTCCAGGAGCTTGCCTGGTCCATGAGCCTGCCTGGTCCAAGAGCTTGCCTGGTCCAAGAGTGTGCCTGGTCCATGAGCGTGCCTAGTCCAGAAGCTTGCCCGGTCTAGGAGCTTGCCTGGTCGAGGAGCTTGCCTGGTCCAGGAGCTTGTCTTGTCCAGGAGCTTGCCTGGTCTAGGAGCTTGCCTGCTCGAAGAGCTTGCTTGGATTGGACGCCTGCTTGGTCTAAGAGCTTGCTTGGTCAATGAGCTTGCCTGGTCCAAAAGCTTGCGTGTACCAGGAGCTTGCCTGGTCTAGGAGCTTGCCTGGTCCAAGAGCGTGCCTGGTCCACGAGCTTGCCTGGTCCACGAGCTTGCCTGGTCCAGGAGCTTGCTTGGTCCACGAGCTTGCCTGGTCTAGGAGCTTGCCTGGTCCAGGAGCTTGCCTGGTCCAGGAGCTTGCCTGGTCCAGGAGCTTGCCTGGTCCAGTAGCTTGCCTGGTCCACGAGCTTCCCTGGTCCAGTAGCTTGCCTGGTCCACGAGCTTGCCTGGTCCAGGAGCTTGCCTGGTCCAAGAGCTTGCCTAGTCCAAGAGCTTGTGTGGTCTAGGAGCTTGCGTGGTCCAGGAGCATGCCTGTTCCATGAGCTTGTCTGGTCCAGGAGTTTGCCTGGTCCAGAAGCTTGCCTCAAGGAGCTTGCTTGGTCCAGGAGCTTGCCTTGTCCATGAGCTTTCTTGGTCCGTTACCTTGCCTGGTCTAGGAGCTTGCCTGGTCCTGGAGCTTGCCTGGTCCAGGAACTTGCGAAGTCAAGGAGCTTGCCTGGTCCATGAGCTTGCCTGGTCCACGAGCGTGCCTGGTCCACGAGTTTGCCTAGTCCATGAGCTTGCCTGGTTCAGGAGCTTGCCTGGTCGAGGAGCGTGCTTGGTCCACGAGCCTGCCTGGTCCAAGAGCTTGACTAGTCCAGGAGTGTGCCAAGTCCACGAGCGTGCCTGGTCCAGGAGCTTGCATGGTCCAGGAGCTTGCCTGGTCCAGGAGCTTGCCTGGTCTAGGAGCTTGCTTGGTCCAAGAGCTTGCTTGGACTAGATGCCTGCCTGGTCTAAGAGCTTACCTTGTCCATGAGCGTGCCTGGTCCAAAAGCTTGCGTGTTCCAGGAGCTTGCGTGTTCGAGGAGCTTGCTTGGTCCAGGAGCATGCCTGGTCCATGAGCTTGCGTGGTCCACGAGCTTGCCTGGTCTATGAGCTTGCCTGGTCCAGGAGTTTGCCTGGTCCACGAGCTTGCCTGGTCTAGGAGCTTGC